GCGGACGGATCACACGGGGCAAGAAAGAGACTGTGATAAGTCGTAGGGAAGGAGGCCTGCGTAAGAATATTGCAGACTCTGATCAACATTCCCAGCTCAAGGATAAAGGGGGGGTGAGAATGCCAGCGTGGAGTGCGGAGGGTTTTCATGAATGCCGCTCGAAGGAGCACACCTCACTACATCGAAATAAGCACGATACAAATAGCGACAGGGAAGGTGTGTTAGGAGGATAATGGAAATGTGGATAGGCTAGGGCAGAGGAGATACCACAACTGTTTAGTACACGTTTGGTCAAGGATCGGCTTCACTTGTCTCTCTGAATGGCGATACTCACTGACGATGCCGGCGAAACGTCTGGGAATGTACCACGTACACGGTCTGACGTTGGAAATGATCATGAATACAATGGACTCCCGAGTAGGTGCGTTCCTCTAAGTCTTCAAATACGGCCAAGTTGCGAAAACAGGTTCAAACAACCGCTATACAACGAAAGGAGACTGCGACCACACCATCTTGGTCTTCACACCTTCGAAAACAAAGTTAGATTCAAAGATATTTGCAAAATAAATAAAGGTTGACGACCTCGTTTACAACTTGAGCGGAGGCAATTTTACGTCTTGGCAACAGGTCAGGATTGCAAGAAATTATTAAAATATGCCAACATTGGCTTACCTATTTTTATGTCTTACTAGTAATAAGTAAACTCTGTTAAAGGTAAAAAATAATCAGATTGGGTTTTTCACGAGAACAGAATAGATAGAAGCTGTAGGGTGAGCTAATTAAATTGACATGACTACCAAAGCTTGTGTTTAAATTAAATCAGGAAATTTACTAGTGCTAACCAAGTAATAACTTTAAAAAAATCCATATGTACCATAAGGAGAACGAGGATAGAATGGTGTTTGCTCAGTTTGGGGAATCTGCTGAACTTTTCCGAAGAGTTCGCTACTTGATGCCTGATAGACCTTTACTTGAGTATCTAGTTTGCAAGTCCTTATGGCATCCAAAAGGCGAAGGGTTCCAAGGCCATCCACCTCTCCAGTATACTCACTTAACTCAAAAGAAACCTGTTCGCAAAGTAGATTAAGAAAAAATTACCTTCACGTGCGACATCGCTGCCAAGTTATAAACTTCAGTTGGCCGTATATCACTTATAATTTTTACCAAGGAAGAACTGTCAGTCATATCACCGTAATGCAGAAGAAGACGCCCTTGAAGTAGAAATTCAACTATTTACTTTTATCCATAGGAGACTCTGCGTCTTCGTACAAGTGCTGAATCCGACCAGTATTAAATGAACTTGATCGGCGTATCACACCATGGACCTGAAACACTAAAACGTTAAATTTCAGCTAACAATATATCCTTTTGACAGCAGAAATTCTGCCAAATAAGAGCCATCTTGACCCGTTATGCCAGTAATCAGGGCTACCTTCCTTTGAGCAGTGTCCATGCGCGGGAGATGAGAGAGAAGGTCGGAGGAGCCGGGGAAGGGTAGGAAGGGGCGCGAAACAGCGTAGAAAATCAACAAATATAAGACTCACTACTTCCAGTGAAAAAAGTTCGTTGATAATATTGTAAGTAATTATAATTATAAACAATAACAAAAAATATATGAATATTTGTATGATATCT